CTCTTTACTGCTACTTGACAAATAAAAATACCCTTGGAGGTGAAAAAGGGCAGAGCAGGATGCTTTGACAGACGCGATGCCCTGCATTACCCTTGCCACAAGCAGACAGGAACTCCCCGTCTTCTCCTTTTACCCCACAGTACCTGATACAGGGAGATGGCAACATCTTACTCTGTAGTTGGCGTTCGGGGAAGTTAACACTCTTCAAGTCCTACAACAAGAAACAGGGACTTTCAAAGGAGCAGGTGCATGTCACACCCTGAATTTCCACGCACAACCTTTGGACTTCAAAGTGCCCCCAAGGTCCACAGAGCTATTAATAACAGATTTGTCCTTTGGGTCTGAATCTGGACTGAAAAATAAGCCCAAAGCAGCCCAGGTCAAACAAACAGAAAAAAAAAAATGAAACACATTAAACAGCTGCTTCTACCCAGCCCTGAACAGTTCGGTGTTTCATTTGTAACTGCTCATCTCATCTCGGGCACCTGAGCTGTAGTAACAGCCCCCAGGTCCTCACTTGGGGCAGACACCAACTCCTGCACCCTGCCTGCGGGGCAGCGGCGCCGCGGGCCGCGTCTCACCTCGGTGCCGGGCGCGGGGCCGCTCCTGGGCGCGCGCGGTGAGGCCGGCGCGGGGCCGCAGAGCTGCACTTTGCTCTCATGAAGCCGCACGCTCTCCTCGTCCAGGATCTTCGCTCTGAGCACATCAAACAAGGAGCAAGTTATTGCCTGTCAAGCCACACTGGCCTTTTGAAACACCCCCCACAGAACAAGGATTTATGCAGGGACAGAGGGAGGCACAAAACTGGAGGAAGTATGGGGAGAGGCAGGGTCCCAGGGCATCCCATCCACCCTGGACAGCAGGAAGTGGCTACCTGCTCTGGAGGGTGGCAATCGTAGCCTTGCTGCTCCAAGGGGTGTCCTCCTGGTCAGAGATCTTCTGCAGGAGCCGCCTTCTTTCCTGGAGCAGTTTTTCATTCTCTGCAGTGATCTGGGCAATCAGCACCTTCCCCTGAGCGCAAATGCAGAAAGACAGAAGCACTAGCAGCTATATTTCACTCTGCTCTAGCCACTGAATTTTACATTGCTTTACCCAAAGGGTCACCACCAAAAACATCAGATCATTTGACATCAACATGCCCTGGAAAAAGATTTCTGAATCATCTCCTAGCAGTGACGTTTCTCAAATGAGAGAGCTTGAGCAGTTTCTGAATGGGATGCGAAGACAAACACGGCCACAAGGGCCAAGAAGTCCCTTATGGCTCCAGATGTTTCAAATACTGTCACAACGACAGAAGCCTTTGACCCTTTCAAGGAGGTTTTTAAGAAAAGTGGTTGTTATATGGCCAGCTCTAAACATTGCAGACTGCTGCCTTGTACCTAAAAGGAATTTTAAAGGGCTCAATCCTTTAAAAAGGAATTTAAAAAGGCTAAAATGAATTTTTGCCAGAAGGAATCTTCCTGCAGACGTGCTGCAGGCAGGTGCCCATCTTCCCCTCTGGGAGAAGCCCTGTAGTATTCCCGTTATATCTCTTCTCACCTTCTCTACCTGGAGCTTTGACTCGCTGAGCTCACTTTCAAGCTGCTTGATTTTACTGTCCCTTTGTTTCACCTCGTGGATAAACGTCTCTTTCGCTCGACGGATCTTGTCTTTGTGGCGGAGCTGCATTTCGTTGTATTTCCTGAGGAGGCACAAGCACCAGGCCAGAAAATGCCTTTGTGTTCAGGGAAACAGACCCAAGGCATTCCCAAAACTGACTCCCAGCTTTACAAATCCTTTGACCTGTATTTATTTACTGCTTCAGGTTAACATACAAATAACAGGCTGCTATAAAAGCCAGCAGTACACTCACAAAAACATGTGGGAAAGGGCCATGGAGCTAAAGCTGGAACAGCTCAATCAACCAGCCAAGAAAAACAGCAGCAAATGCCTCAGACCCTCACCCATCCCCACCTTGCTACTGGTGCAGCCCTTCAAATCAAAGGTTTTTTGCAGGCACAGCAAAGCATTCGGGTTCCTAAGAAGGGTCCTGAACAGCAAGGCTAACAGAGAAGGTCTCAATGCTTACTACTTCAGCATTGCTTATAGTGGCAGTACTTTGGGGTTAAACATTTGTCTCTACTGAGATTTGTGACCATCATTCTTTTCCTCAAATATGCCTCATTTAGGCAGGAAAGAAAAGCTCTCATTTATTTTTCATTCTGAGAGAGCTGGGACAGAGGGGAAAAGTCACATCCAGAAAGGAGAAGCCTCTACCAAAATTAGGAATATTTGCAAGTTTGTTTGAAACTTGTGAGAAGGAAAAGCTGCAAGCTATCCTGCTCCAGAAGAGATCAAAAGAGCGTGGGGGAGAAATGAACAGTTGCACGAGGCAGCTCTGCAGAGAGCAGATCTTAGATAGCAGCACCCATATGCCTGACACCTCCCCTCCTTCTCTGCACCAGCATCAGCTGCCACGGAGGATCTGCCGTGGTAGCAGACGTGTGATACAGAGCAGAACTGAACACAGAGGTGTCAGGTTCAGGCAGATCCCCCAGTGCTGGATGTCCTGACCTGGTGAGACAGGAAAGCCCAGGGAATCATCAGCTCCAGCATCACCTCTGGGAACACAAAGAGCAACTCCTGAATAGCTTTTGTTCCCCCAGATCTCCTGCTGCTTCAGTTACTACCTGACATACAGATCCTTTTGGTTCAGGAGCCGGACTCCTTCCTCATAAAGGGCTTTGTTTTCCTCCTTCAGCAGGGAAAGTTGCTCTGAAAGCTTCTGGTTCTCCTTGTGACACTGGAGATGCTGAAAAAAACACAACATTTTTATTTGCCTGGGTGTTCTCTGTAGGGGCTCCAGAGCTCCTTCCAGGCTGTTCTCCAAAGCTTCTCTGCTGTAAATCCTGGTGTTCCTCACTACAGACAATATCCATCTACTCCCCTCGCCAGTATGTTCTTGCTAAGGCCACTGCTCCCCATAAAATTGGAGGATTGTGAATTTCTGTGTTGTTGGGGGCACGGGCTTCAGCAGGGCAGACAGAGGTAACGCGTCCTTGCAGAGCGTCGATTGCTGAAATTCTCCTGCAAAAAGCTCTGTGCCCTGCAAGAAGAGGGGGCGAACGCTTCCCCTTTCCCTCCTCGCCCTTTTAGGCCTCCTCCCTGCCCCAGGAAACCTAGTAAAGATGGGACGACGTTCTTCTTGAGCTCCTGTTTGAACACCTGGGCTCAGCATCTGGCAGGTTTTGATGCCACCAATTCCCAGGCACAGATTTCACACTGGAATGTCCTATTTCCCAGCACAAACTGCTCCTTAGAGCTCCCTCCTGTGCTCTGGCCAGGGAGCACTCACCTCGCTCGAGCCCGTTTTCCTCTCATCTTCCAGGACGTGCAGAGTCTTGGCCTGCAGCTCCACACGCATCTTGGCCAGCGACGCCTCCGTCTCCCGCGAGTGCCGCAGCTGCTGCCGCAGCTCCTCCACCTGCTGCTCCAGGAGCTTCCTAAGAGCACGTTGGGGTGACAGTGAGACACTGGGACACGGAGGTCACCCCAGGACCTGCCATCAGGAGATGGAGGGTGGCTCCTGTAAGGCTGTGTGTTAGCAGAGGGGATGAGACAGTCAGACAAGCTCGGCCTGACTCTCTTGGGGGTGGCTGCACAGCAGGGTAAAGCAGTGGTCCAAAATCAGCCTCCCGCGGGGCAGCTTTGGCACTACAAAAAAAACACTACCCGCTGGACACCCCCAGCACTATGTCAAATGCTGCGTGTTGGACCCGGTGACATCAATCCTCGGGTGCCACCAAAGGGGAAAACCATCACCACCTCAAATCACAATGCTGGCAGGAGGGGCCACATACCCGCTGAGTCAGGTGAAGCCTCCAAAAAAATCATTTAGATCTTACAAAAAGAGGATCCTGTGGGGTTCCGCCCCTGGTCTCAACAGTGTCACAGCATGGCCCTTTTGCAGGGACAAAGGAGGGGTTTGGGGACATAGCCAGTGGCGCAGGGACTCCTTCAGCCCACCCAAGAGCTATGGGAGGCAGCTGGCAGGTTGGCACGGAGGCATTTGCAGACATGCACCTTCCCTCTACACGTGCCACTGCCCGTGCCCAGCTCTAGGTACCTCTTCAGACACTCCTCGTGCAGCTCTTGCTGCACTCGAGCTTCATTTTCTCGGGCCTCTTTCAATTCCTCCTCCAGCAGTTTCTTGTCCGAAACACGGGCCTCTGCCAGAAGGAGCTGGTGTTGTGATTCCTTCAGCTTCTGCTGGAGCTTCGAGATCTTGGATCAAAATGGGACACTGATTAAGCCTTCTGAATTCATAAGCCAGTATTTGAGTCAAAGAAGTCATGGGAAGGAAAGATTTGCTTACTTCTGTTCAGGAGTACTTATTTCTGCATGTCTTTGCATCAAAGTCCATTAAAAGTATAATCTATCTAGTGACTGCCCAATTTCAGACCAGATACCCTATCACGAACGAGCAACAGCCCTTTTTACACTTAATGTGGTCCTGGACACTTCAGATCCAGTGTCACTCCAGTGCCTGGTGCAGGGATGCGGCAGAACCCCTGCCACAGAGCACACAAGGTTTTGTAATTCATCAGTTGCTATAACAGTGAGAAGATGACCCAGGCTGCCTGAACCAGCCCAGCTATCAATATACTCCACAGACACTGAATTTTAAATACAAGAAATGAGACATCATATTTGCAACCTGCCGTATTAATTACGTTCCTGCTAATAACAGACATGCTTCCCAAAACATCTAGCCCACCTCCCACAGCATCTCAGACTAGCAAAATGCACCTCAGCTGCATGTACCTGCTACTTAACTTACTCCAGGTTGATGAGTTACCTTTTTTTGTGCTTCGGATACTTTGGACTTCTCCTGGGAAAGTTTCTCTTGTAGACTGCTCTGCAGCGCATCAGCCTGGGAGCTCTTCAAGAGCTCTCGCTCCAGCTCTTTGACCTTCTGCTGGCTCTTTTCCCACTGTGCTGAGAGAGAGGAGCACGTTTCAGTCGTGTCCAGAAGCTTCGCGCGGGCTTGCTTCAGCTCAGCTTTGACCTGCGTTTGAAAGAAGAAATCAAGCTCACACCTTAACAGACAGCATCTAAAGTCTCTCAATCAGGAAAAGGGCAATGGCATCCATAGAATGACAGAATCACAGAATGGTTAAGGTTAGAAGGGACCTCTAGGGATCATCTAGTCCAACCCCCTGCACACGCAGGGTCACCTAGAGCACGTGGCACAGGACTGCGTCCAAGCGGGTTTGAAGATCTCCAGAGAAGGAGACTCCACAACCTCTCTGGGCAGCCTGTTCCAGTGCTCTGGCACCCTCACTGGGAAGAAATTTTTCCTTAAGTTCCTGTGGAACTTTTGGTGTTTCGGTTTCCGGTCGTTTCCTCTAGTTCTGTCGGTGGCCACCAGTGAAAAGAGGCCGGCCCCATCCTCCTCACGGCCTCCCTTGAGGTGGCCACCAGTGAAAAGAGGCCAGCACCATCCTCCTCACTGCCTCCCTTCAGGTACTTATAGACACCGGTCAGGTCCCCTCTCAGCCTTCTCTTCTCCAGGCTGAACAGGCCTATGAGGAGAGGATCCCTAAGCCTCTCCTCATAGGGTAGATGTTCCAGGCCCCTGATCATCCTTGTAGCCCTGCGCTGGACTCTCTCCAGCAGCTCCACATCCCTCTTGTCCTGTGGAGCCCAGAACTGGACACAATACTCCAGATGCCGCCTCACCAGGGCTGAGCAGAGGGGCAGGATCACCTCCCTCGACCTGCTGGAGACGCTCTCCTTAATGCAGCCCAGGATCCCCTTGGCCTTCTTGGCCACGAGGGCACACTGCTGCCTCATGATTCTATGATTTTATGAAAATAATTGGAAACACTGCGGGGAGAGTGAGATATTAATGGACTCAAAGTCACCAGTGCTGACGAGAGCGCAAATGAGCCCAAGCCTGTGAAATCAGCACCTCAGACCTCCTACGGCTCATAAAAGGGAGCGCTGCTCTCCTCAAGCTACATCCTATCTGCTCCGTTCCTACCTTGGTGCAGAGCAAGAAGTTTTGTTTTTGCAAGTCAACGTTTTTCTCCCGTTCATATTTAAGCTCCCTCTCAGCTGAGCTGCACAGGTTCTGAACACGACGCAGATCCTGTCGCAGTTGCTGCATCTTTTCCTCCTGTTGCTGGAATCGCTCTTCAGACAGACTCTGCAGGAAAGGGGAAACAACAAAGGTGATGGGAAAATTATCTTCAAGAAAGGGTAAAGTTTGGTAATTAGGAGGGATTAATGAGGACAGCCAAAGTACAGTGGTAGGATTAACAGAGAGTAAGAGGGGCACAGTCAGGCAAACGCTTCTCCTGGTTCCCACTTGAGCAGCTCTGTCTGCTCTGCCTTGTCCATCCCCTTGGAAGAACTCACAGAACTGCTGAGGTCAAGGATGAAGACAATAATGTGGATCAGGAAACAAATCCCCGTTAAAACTATCCTGGCAAGTAAAAGCAAAACAAAGCCGGTTGCTTTCAGCTCAGGCCCATTCCTGAGCCGGCTCCTGGCCGCACTCGGAGTCTCGGGACAGTCTTGCTAAGGCACTGAGCACGGGTGGCACGTCCAGCTACACCTCCCAAGGGCAGCAGGGACAGGCACGATGCCACAGCAGCCCAGCTGCTGCCACGGGGTGGCCGACTTCAGTCCTGGCTGTCCCAGGTCCCTCCAGACACAGCCCAGCAGCACGTGGATCCTGATCCTGCCTCTCGGCATCGCCTGGAGCCCTCTGCCGATCCCTCACCTTGCACCTGCACCATCTGCTTCTGAGACCAAATGAAATACAAGACCAAGCTTTTCTTCTCAGAATAAACACCCAGCTGGAATGAGGGTTGTGGATCCAACACCGTGGGATGTGGCAGTATCATCTGTCTTGAAGAGACCAGTCAGGGATGTTTTCCCTCCCGCTTCCATCGGGATTCCTTGCAGCATTCCCTCTACACCTTCTATCTTGCTTTGGCAGACATTATACTTTTCCATATAGATTTGCTGCTTCTTAGCATTGTTGTGGTGTTGATCCACTTTCTATTCCCACTCCCGTCTGCAGGCCATCCTGTCCTCTCTTCCAAACTCCTGCATTTAATTCTTGCTCCCAATATCCCAGCCTTGCATAACTCCACGATTTCTTCCTCCTTTGGCAGGGGTAGCTGCTCCTCTCCTTTTTTAAACATCCCCAGGTAAGGCAGACAAACGACTTGCATTTAAAACACAGCTAAATGAAGTGGCATCAAAAGTGGACCTTGCCTGCCACCTGCCAGAGCAACAGGAGAACAGTGTGACAAGGACACGGGGCTGTGGCAAAACCCAGTTGCCCGGGAGCTGCTACTGCAGGGCAGCAGATAAGCAGGAGCAAAGGAGTGGAACTGCTTCTGCCTACAGCAAGCAGGAGACCATTACGGGAATAGCAAGCCCCTTTTTTTCACTCACACTCCAAAAAAAAAGGAGAAAGGGTTCCAAAAGATTTAAAACATGAGTATGTTAAGATCAGATGACCTCCACAGGTTGCCTCTATTTTGTGCTTCTGCGACTATAAAGCTAATTTCTTTCATGTGCACTAAGGGAGTCAGAACTATTCAGTTTACTCAGGTTCCCACAGTGGAAAGTGGTTTCTATGCCTAGAAACATGACAAAAGGAACCAATATCATTGCTCAAACACTTTCCCCAGAGAAATCAGCCGGCTTCTCATCTCTCTCAGCATGCTAATACTACAGCACTGCAAGCACTGGCTTCCAGGCCACTTTTTAGTTAGGTTTTGCCACCAAATTAGTGGAAAAAAAACCTGCAGATGAGGCTGCCCATACCTGTTTAATGCTCCCATCTAAACTGCCTGCAGAACTCTGAGGTAAGAGAAACTTGTTCTCTCTATGGGCCATGCCTTGCTTCCTTCTCAAAGCTTCTTCATCCACGCTGTCACAGCGCTCCCACGCAGCCGCCGTTTCGTGTTTCAGCTGGGCAATTTCTTCCAGTAACGACTGTTTGTCTTCATTGCTCTCCTTGAGCTGCTTTTCTAGCTCCTCCCTCTTCTTGTTGCTTTCTAGTAATTCAGAACTTAAAGGAGAAACAGTAAAGGAGACAGATAACTACATATCCACGGGAAACCACTCTCTGAAGGGGACACTTGGAATGTGGGAGTTCCAGGGAAATGCTCAGAGCAGCACTGAGGCTCTCTGGAAGCCTCAAAGGGCTGTAATCCTGAGTCTAGCTGTACTGGGCAAGGGTCGGTTTTCCCTGCACAGTGATCCACAAAAAAACGTGGAGGCCACGAGGGCCAGGTTCTGGTCACAAGGAGCACATACACCATGCCTTGCTGCACGGACGGGCAGGCTCAGGTCAGGGCCAGCCCTTATAACCCAACCGACCTGTCTTAGCAGGGTTTTGCTTTATCCCATTCCCTAATTACCCAGGTAATTGAGAGCTGACTGGAACTACATGAGGTTAAATCCAGAGTTTTACTTACTAATGAAAGTCTAAGCACAGATGGTCTAACTTCAAATTTCCACTGACCACTGACAAAGGGGAGTGGGGGGACCTACAATCCCACCTCTGCTGACATCTGTCCTTAAAGGACAACTGAAATCCATAGGGGGATGTATATGAGCAGCTGCTGGTAGCAGGCAGCTGTTCTTCATTACCAAAGAGCCCCACAACAGGAGCAGTTTGGGGACCACGTGAGTGAAAACACAATGTAACCCCAAGAGAAAAAAACAGCCTCCCAAATGATGATGCTTTTATGCAGTTAAGAATCTGGAGCAAAGGGGTTTATTTCTGACTGCTCATTATCTGACTAAGGGAAATGCTTATTTGCCAGAACCTCAATGGAGCCCTGATTAATTGATGCTACAGAATTGCACACAAAGCAGCCGTCCCTGTTCCTGCCAGAAGCAGCACCATGAGGAATTTTAAAAGGCTGGACAATTAGCAAAGAGAAGGTGCAGAAAATACCAAAGGCCTCGTTAAGGTTTACCAGAGCAGTTCTTGTTCAGCCCTCAAGTTTTGGATCCGTTCTTCCAAAAATACTACTTTAGCCATCAGCTCTTCACAAGCCTTTTCATCAGTAGTTAAATCTTCGTGTTTCTGCTCGAGTTTGCTAATTTGTTCATGTTCTTGTAGTTCAGAGACCTGTAAGGTCAGAAAACACCATGACTTTGATTTTCTTTGGTCCCATGGAAATCTTTTGAGCAGTGTAATGCAATGTGGGGGCTCCAGCAAGAAAAGGCTTGTGATTCTGTAGCTAAATCATCATGGATCTTCACCCAGATATTTACATGCAAGTCCCGCACTGGAATTAGCTGCATGTAAACAATCATCAAATTGGATTTCTTTACAGGATTTTATTCTTCTGCTGCCTGTCTCTAGTTCCCAGCACTTCATATCATGTGTCCTATCTCTTTGCAACATCAGGAAGTCTCAGAAAAACACGAGGGGTTTGTGGTATGGAATCAGCTGTCTCATGCAGAGTATCCTCCTCCCAAGTGAACGCGTTGGCCTGTTCAGTCTTTCTGATACAGAGCTGAAGTCTCTCAAATGAAGAAAGGGCTGGGGATGAAACACACCCAAACACTTTGGAGGGACGGCTGTTGTCCCCTGTCAACTTCACCTAAAGCTGTAACAACCCGGCAAGAGTAAACACAGAACCTCAGACAAGAAGATCATAAAGAAAGGAAGGAAAGGAAGCCCATAATACAAGGAAAATAAAAAGGATGGGGAACAAGGGGAGGAAGAGCCTACAGGAATTCCCAGAGTGGACCAGAAGCAGAATGTACCTAGTTTGACATCCTCCTGCTAAACAGCAGTGAAACTAAATCCTTCACAAGGAGATGCTGTTAAATCTACCAAACCCTACTGATGATGATAATTGTAGCATTGCTTCCATTCCTAAAGCATTTGGCTTTTAATCCATAGCTTGTCCTGGTGTATTACATTCCTAAGGATTTAATTCCAATTTTTAGCCACACCAGGATGCATTCCAATCTTTGAGCAACATGTACAAGTGGCTGCTGTCTCCATCAGACTCTGGAATGACAGTGATTTCTGTGCATTTCTCACCTCTGTATCTAACAAAGCATTATCTTTTTGTAGCTTCTCATGGGATACATTAACCACATCCCTGTTTGCTGATGTTCTTTGGAGACTCTGGAAGTCACTAGAATGGCTTGCAAGCTCTGATTTTGAGTCAGGCAATTCCTGGTGGGGAAACAACGGGAATTAGTGGATGTAAGGTACCTCTCACTACAAGTTAAGAAGAGCTTTCCCCACTTAGATGTCCAAAAGTGTCTTAGAAGCAAGAATAAAGTTCCAGCAATTGCAAAGAGCTCTTTGAATACTCATGCCATAAGGCATCACCTACACAGCCACTATTACAATGCACAAGAAAGATAATACTGCCAAAGTTACCAGCGCATTCTATGTTTTGGGCATCCTGACAAACACAACAATAAAGAGCTCTTTGAATACTCATGCCATACTCATAAGCCACTATTACAACGCACAAGAAAGAAAATACTGCCAAAGTTACCAGCCCATTCTATGTTTTGGGCATTCTGACAAACACAACAACGAACAACCTCTATTTTTGAGCTCCAAGTGTCATGATTTTACACCAAGCTAAACTCCAATAATTTGTTGGTAAATGATTTGCCACCACCCAGCTGCTCTAGGAAGAGGGAAGGAGCTTGATTCAGGAATCCTAGAAAAGCAGGCAAAACTCTCTATTTTAAAGACCATTTCTGCTGTCCCGTCTAACACAGACTGCTGGATCTCATCCTGTGAACCCCTCGACAGCAAAACAGGCTTCTCTGCAGCCTAAGCAAAACTACCAGCCAATTGCTGAGGTCTGAATCACAACCAAATTTACAGAGATATAAGATGATCTTGATTAAAAGATCCCTGGAATACAAGTAGCCTGAACTATTGCGAAGCAAAAGTTAGAGAGACGTCTGCTCTCTCATCATCCCCAAAACAGACTATTTATTTTTGTACGTGCATTTTAACCTGCTCTTTGGCAAAGCCAGGCCGTGTCCTCAGCTTTTGCAACGGAGTTTGTTGTCTAACAGCAATGAACAGTCCTCCTCTAGAGGACACTGTTCCTCCACCAAGACCCCAGCATATGCACGGCCGTGCCAAAATACCACGACTTTTGCTTATATTCCCAGAAATTATGTGACTCAAAGTTAGTTTAAGGCCTATCACAGTGGATTTTCTTTTCTTTTTTTTTTTTTAATAGATGCCACCCTCTCTTCACCCATCAGTCTCACGTTCCTCTAAACTATCTGATCCAGGCAGTTTTCAGCCCAGGCAGGCATCTTTCCTGCTATGTCTGTGCCAGTCCTCATGCAATTTCCCTCCTCTAGAAGACTGTAGCAGCAACAAGTCTCCTAGCAGAGATAAACTTGCCCAAACTTTATCCAGCATTTAAATGGCTTCAAGTAAAGTGGACCTTAAGCAAAGGCATGCAGTGAAAAGCAGCACCAGGACCCTCAGCAAAGCCACTCACAGAGACTTCTCACCCTTGGGTGACAGCAAAAAGCCAAGTGATACCGTAAGGAGGCAGCTGAGGATGTTTCGTGTGCAGCCACATAAGCAACTGCCTCGTGGTGGGAATCCCATTGCAGGAGCTATATACAAGCCCTCCCAGGAGGGCAGGGCCGTAAGAAAAATTCCTCGCTTCCCAAACTAGGAAACACAGGACGTTGTTCTTGGAAGAACAGCATCGTTCCATCTCTGGTACACACAGGACTGCATGGTACCTTCTTTTCAGCCTTCAGGTCTTCTCGTAACAGTTCAAGTTCGGATGCAAGTTGTTTTCTCCGTTCTCTCCGCTCTCCCAGCTGATTTCCCAACTTTTCTATCTTTTCCTGACAGCTTTCCAGCATCTGGAACAAGCAAGATGAAGAGTCACTTCTATGGTATCAGTTACACTAGTAAAATAGGAACAAATAGGCTGGAAAAACGTTTCTCCAAGTTGCCAATGGGATTCATGCACCTTCAGGTCAGGGCTGGGTGGGCACCTTTGAAGGCCTGAAGCCTTCACCTGACCCAAGATACAGGGACGAGCTCAAGTTCTCTCTCACCAGCCTCGAGTTCTGTCTTCTCCCTCAAAGGAAACCTGACGGATGCAGCCGTCTGGCTGACGGGTGCCACAAACAGCAAAACCAACCCCCAACACCTGGGAATCAGCCTTGTGGCCAGCATACCTACACCACGCTTCACTGGACGCTCTAAACAAGAGCTAAGCAGAACTCCAGGTCTCTACACTCCCTCCACAAGGAGTAAATTTAATCCTCTACACGTGTAAACCCTTCACCCTTGCAACAGAGTCAATATGTCCCTTGGCTTGCACAGCTGAAAGCAAGACAAGATTGTAAGAGTATTTACAGAGTTATCACAGAGATATTTGCACATTAGCTGCTTTCCTCCAGAGAAGGACGTCCACCTGCCCTGAGCTGACAGGCTACAAACTCTCAGAAGAAAGATTGATTTTTTTTTCCCACCCATTTCTAAACAAATTATTTATTGCCCAAAGAAATCCTCTTACCTCTCGCATTTCTTGTGCTCCATCGGTCAACGCTTGCTCTTCTCCACTCGTCCCAGTTTTGTTCTTCTGCACTTCGAGTAATTCCATCTCTAAACTTGTCATCTTAACATACACAAACCACAAGTAAAAACAAACCAAAACGCATAGCTACGACTAAACTCGCTCTTTGAGCAGCTCTTACAGAACCAGCCCCAAGTTTGGGAGCGAGGGGGAGGAGGGATGTGGACAGGCGCCAAGCTAGCTGCAGCTCAGACCTTTCATCCTGCAAACAAGTCCAAGGCCAAGTAGGAAAACGAAGGGACTCGGGTCCAAAAAAGGAGCTCTGGAAGGACTTTGAAAGTCAACCGTGACCCACAGCTAAAATTTAAAGACCTCCTGCGTGACTAAATGATAGTTTGGGAGCTCAAAAAGACTTCGGAGCTGTTGGATAGGACCGTAAAATAACTTATGGTTATTTCTCCATGCTCCTCTCCCACGCGGCGCAGCTGAGGACCCTGCCGTGGCTGTGCAGGGGCCTCCCGGATTTCTAGCGCGGGCCACTCGCCCTCCCACCCCCTCACAGCGCCAGGCAGCCCCGGTGCATCCCGGCACGTCCCGGCAGCCGCCCGCAGGCTCGTCCCGAGCCCCTGGAGCACCCGGGGAGGCTGCAGCTCCCTCCTGCAAAGTTCTGGATTCCACCCCGCAACACGCTGGCCTGCTCCGCGCGCCGCTTGGCAGGCACAAGGAGATGGGCTGCTGGGCTCCCCGTGTCCAAGGATAAAAGCAGAACTTGGAGCTTCGCTGCACTCCGACGCTGCCCCTCTGCCCGAGGAGCTTTACAGGATGGTGGAGATATTCAGAGGATATTTTTCATTCCTTTCTGACAGGAGTGCAAAGCCAAAGAATTGTGACGTTTCTGCAAATCCCAGGCCGCATTAAGTGATTTCTACAGAGAAGGCAAAGCCCCAAGGGGGAGCTTTGCTCTCACTGACAGGCTTCAGACAGGGTCCCAGCACAGAACGATCTCGAGCGTGCAGGGAGGCTGATGTGAAGTTTTCTACAAGAGACACTGTTATTGAGGCAGGTATTAAAAGAAAATCATTTCAGAATCACAAGCTTCCTACTTTGAGCCTTTAGTGCAAGGGCAAGATTGCTCAGGTGGGGTGAAGCACCCAGGCCCCTTCCAGAAGGGCTGGAGAGTTAATCCAGTGATAGCTTGGAGGTTCAAAAACATTTTGGACCTGTTGGAAGCAATCTCCAAAGCAAAATAATCTCCATTCCTATTAAAACCAAAAAACTTTTCATCAGCAAACTGATGCCCAGCCACGTCATTCCATCATTCTGCAGTTTTTCCCTCTGAGCCACTAACTTCAGCATTCAAAGCGAGCAGGCGCATCTCCCACAACAAGAGAACAACACTGGCATTGTACCCTGGTGTCCTCGTTCTGTGTCACCGGCCTAATGAGTCGGGCTTTGCGTAGGCAGGGCAGGACGGAACGGCCTTCCAAGCCTCCCTCGCGTGGGACCGCCTGGCAAGCGCCCAGGAGAGCCGCTTTCCCAGGGCTCCAACGCACCTGCCTTCACGTGGCTCTTCCCCCGCTGTATCCCAGACTCCTAAAATCCAGGCGGAGACGCGGTGCAGCTCTGCAGCCCTCCGTCCAGGCAGAGCCTGCATCCTGGTGAGCGCTCAGCCGCCTCCTTCTCCTCCCTGGGACCTGCCTCTCCTCCGCCGTCCCGCGTGCCGCTTTCCTGTGCCCGGCAACGCGCAGCCTCCCTGGCTGCCAGGCTCACGCCGGCCAGAAACGCCTCGCGGCTCCTTGGTGCTCCTCGCAGCAGCCTTCCCAGGGCTCTGCTGGACAACGGCCTCAGCACAGGAAGGACTTCTCCAAACTGGAAACGCGTTTTGCTTCATTTGCAGGGGAAGGATTTTCTCCTCTCTATTCCAAGGAGAGGGAAAACGTTTTAACGTGGAGCTGAACAAAACTTTGGTTTAAACAAAAGCACAATCGCAGTGGACAGACTTTACAGCATTTCCACCGTGGCCAGAGCCTCTCAGGCACTTGACTATCTACATCCCTCGATGGGTTCTAAGAATGCAAGATGCTTCTCACAAAGCTGCTTCGAGAGGGATGGAGAGTTCCTAATCAAACCAAGACTAAAGACCACTCTGACAAAGCAGCATTAGGCTGAAAAGCTTCAACAGAAGCCCAGTCCCTCCTGAAAGTGTGAGGGGAGACGGATCTACAAGACTCTCAGGCACTTGACTATCTACATCCCTCGATGGGTTCTAAGAATGCAAGATGCTTCTCACAAAGCTGCTTCGAGAGGGATGGAGAGTTCCTAATCAAACCAAGACTAAAGACCACTCTGACAAAGCAGCATTAGGCTGAAAATCTTCAACAGAAGCCCAGTCCCTCCTGAAAGTGTGAGGGGAGATGGATCTACAAGTCTTGCAAGGAAGCCTCTAACATCTCCAGAGCTATAAACAACACTGTTTGGTCTTGGCAGTTTCCCACAGGTCTTCTGATGGTCACGTGTGAATGAGGGAACCTGTGGAAATAACCAAGACTTCACCTTGGTTCACTTCAAGTAACCATCAATCTCC